ATTATTGTTATTATTATTAACTATTATTACTAATTATTATTATTATCACCATCACTTCCGCTACTATTGTTATTGTTATTATCATTATCATATCATATCAAATATTTTCATTTATTTGTTCATGATAATCTATTATTTTTTGTCTCTTTATTCTTTTTAAATGGTTAAAAATTAATAAAACTGGTTGTTCAGGAGAACTAGTGAAAAATTCTTGCATTCAGAAATTCTTTTTCCCATTAAATTCAAGTCCATTTTTCAATCATTAATAGCAAAATTTAAGCTTAAATTTTATTCATAGTTTGTTTTTTTAAATTGTTATGAAATAAATGGAAATTAGAAAAGAAATTGACAGTTAAAAGTTAAGTTTAAATTTTATCCGTATTTTTTCGTAAAATTTAAGTGAATTGAGGTTAAATGTAAAATTTAAATGACAAGCTTATATGTGACTGCTATTTATCGTTTTTTTCGTATTTTTGTTTTTTTTTTCTTTTGCGATCATCTTTTTCTTAATAACTGACACAATTGAGTGTAATATGAAAAAGAAAATGAACTTTTGGCAACAATTTCGTGACCAAAAGCTTAACATATTACACAAAATTTATTATGATTTATTGATTACACAATGTACGTGCTATAATCGAGCTGGGAAAATTGTTGAGTGAAAATTTGATTAAATTGGGGTTAGTATATTTATGAACGATTAATAGTAACAACTCATTAGATATTTATCAATCAAAGTGCATCCAAAGTATACTATCATCATCATGATAATTTGCTACTATACATAATTATGATATGATTTGATAAAATAACAATGCTTTCTTCGTATTTGATTGAAATCAAATAAAAACAAAAGAATTGCTAAAAATATATTAAAAAATATTAAATGATCATATAAAAATAATAGTTCCTATGCTGCAACTATAAAATAATTTTCAAAAATTTGAAAAAAGGATTGCAACAAAACACTATTTTAATCATTTATATTTTACATGAAAATGTTTAAAAAATAAAATTACATTGCATTCGAATGGCTTCTCGCCGGTATGTGAATTTTGATGTTCTTCAAGTTCCATTTTAGAGCCAAATCGTGATGAGCACATATTGCAATTGTATGGTCGTTTACGGTCAGCCGTTAATGGCCTTCCTAAAAAATTGGAAATAAAAATAGTTAAATGAAATTAATTAACATTTATTAATTAATGAATAAAATTGAGTGAAAAATGAACTTGTAAATATAGTAAGACCTTGATGAATGTATCAACTGCTTTAATTTTTATTTCATTCTAATTGCTTTACTTTTTTTTATTTGATGTTACGGAGAAAGAACTAAAGAAAAAAATTTCAGTTAAATCAAATTTGACTTGAGTTTTAAAAAATTTAAATGAAATAATGAAAAATACAAAAATGACGAAGAAAAGACATTCATATGTGTGCTGTATCTGCACGGATGCTTGCAGATATAGTATACGTGTGATGTTTATTCATGTACGTGTGATGCTCATTCATTTACGTGCCATGTTTATTTATGTACGTGTAAGATTGTATTTGGGCATTTGTTGCTTATAAATACAGAAATGTATGGATAAATGTTACAAAAATAGACAGAAAAAATTACCATTTTGATGGATACTAGAGGATGATGAATGAGGAGCTTGAGCATTTGTGGTAGTTGCTGTAGCAGTGGCGGTGTTTATGTCATGACCGTATAACCGATAATCTGTTGTTACCACTAGAAAATAATCAGTATCAATTGATTTTGATATAATAAAAAACGAAAAAAACGGAAAACAAGGGTCATTTGTTACTTAAATGATAAATTTGTCTCAAGAATGAATTTACATTTTAATCTTTATCATGTTTTCAACAATGTACTATTGTGTATTTTGTGTTAGTCATATATTTAATAATCAATAAATTATATGCTTGAGATTTAATATATTCTAAGCACTTCATATTCATTAATTTCTTTCCTTCTGCTATAAAATTTGGGAAAAAAAATAAATGTTTGTTTTAATTAAGAAATTTAATCTAACCTGATCTAATCTATTTCATCTTTGAACTTACATTATTGCAATTATTTTGGATTATTTATTATTTATCATGAATTTTTTGAATGATCTTAGCTTAAACGAAAAATTAGTGTTTGTTTGTGAAAAAATTTTAACATGAAAACAATAGAGTTATAGGGATAAGACGAGGAAAATTTTGATATAAATGAAAACAAAAAATTTGGCATGAAGTAAAATGAAAGATAATAAGACAGCCTGGATCTTTGTTTGCTAGATTATTTTCATTCATATCAAATTCCAAATATCAAATTATCAGATTTGAAATAGCAAACTATCAAATTTTAAATATCAAATTAAACTTTGAATATCAAATTATCACAATTATTAATTCATCTTAATTTTCTAATTACTTGCACCTTTATTTTCTATTTTTAGATTTTAAAATTAAAGAACCTTGATCTACTATTTCAGTATCCTTTTTTTTTGCATGTTTAATCACAAATCTACAGTGTATGAAAACTTGCACAGATCTGGCATTTAATTTATTTATCAAAAACAAATAAATAAATTTATTTATTTTATTTACCAAAATAAATAAATAAGACATATTAAACCTATAAAATCTGAACTCATTTTATTTTCACCAAACAATTTGCAACACTTACCAGTACCATTGCGAGATTGCTGTTGTTGTTGTATGTTAGAAATATTGTTATTATTGTTGTTATTGTTGGTATTGTTGCTATTTTCATTATTGTTGTTATGACTATCATCAATATTGTTGTTGTTATTATTGTTGCTGTTATTATTATTGTTATTGTTACTGTTAGTTGCATCTACCGTATGCGTCGTTGTGTGCTGATTGGATGATATTGATGATGATGATGATAGGGAACATGATTCGGAAACACCGGATGAAGTTGATTGTTGCTGATTTGTTGCAGTTACTGCTACCACAACTGCCTGAGGCGGAAGAATTTGTTGTTGTTGTTGTTGTTGTTGTTGTTGTTGTGGTAATGTTGTTTCGGTTTTCACCAAATACGGATTATGCAAATATCGTGCTGGAAGTGATTGATGTACTTCCATCTTTCCAATATTCTATATTGAATTTTCTCTTGTTCTTTTTTTCTTCTCCTTTTTTGTTTCTCAATTATTATCTGCCGTTTTGAATGATGATTATAGCATTTAGTATGAAGTATAAAAAATTCCTTATAAAATCAGCAAAATTGTCAGCTCCAATGAAATCGTTGAAAATTTTGAATTAACATCATCGATCAAAAGTTATTCTGAAAAAAAAAAAATTATTAAAAAATGTTGAAGTATATATGCTTTTTCAAACGAATGCTGTAAAAAATAACGTCAATTTGTCAATATGCCTATTAGTGTTTTAAACTTTGAATAATCATCAAAATAATCAATTAATTTAATAATAGAATACGTGGAAGACAAGTTAGTGCAATTCAGTTTAATTGAATGGAAACAGATTTAAATTATCCATTTTATGATTAAAACTATGAAGTTGATAATATGCATCAAAAATTACAAAAAAATGCTCAAAATTTACTTTTAAAAATTAAATTACTGTGTCGATTTCAAGCATTCATTTATTTTGCATAGTTTCTGCTCTTTTCCTTCTTTTTTACGATAAATTCAAGAAAATTATTTGATGAATGTAAGACAAAAATGTGGAAATCTCAAAAACACAAGAGAATTAATTAGACATTAGTCGGATGTAGTAGAAACATATTGTTAACATTGAGCAATCAAAAAAAAGTATCCAATAACTTTCCCATAAATCATTTATTTGTTTGTTCTAATCCAATAAAAATGAATTACTGAAAACAATAACGCTAAAAATAAATGAATGAATGCAAACACAATAAAAAGAATGATCTAATATAACTTTCGATTGTTTAAATCTTTCTAATTGTTGAAATGATTGCAAACTTTACTATCCAAATCGTTGCTAGCACATCATGTAAATTATTTAGCATAATAGTAACCATTATTATTTCATTATATTTTTAATTTTAACCGTTTTCTACATTTGAAATCTTATCGGCTACTTAATACTGTATATTGTGTTGGAACAATAAAAATTTGTGATAAAATCTTATGTATAAATATGATAACGATGGCAGTAACACTCAGAAGTAGTTAATATTGAATAAAGGTAGGGATAATGAAATCACAATAAATGTGATAATGCTAAAAATTTGTGATAACATTTTGTACGATGGTAAAATAATGATATCAAATGATATTGACGATAATTTAAATTAATAATAATATGAAAATAGTCACAACATAGTAATATATTTGATCAAATAGGATGCGTTAAACTCTTCATCAAATTCTGAAAAAAAAAGAAAATAAACAATTTAATCTTTGCATACGATCATTTTCCAACCGGATGTTAGAGTTATCATTGATAATAATTGATATATTAATACCACATTTTATGCAAACATATGAGAATCTCTGATACGATAATTTAACAATACTGTTTAATTATTAGAAAAAAAAATAAAAATTGGTCGAAAAGGTTAACCGGAACAGTAGAAAAACAAGGAAATTAAATGTAAGGGTGGAAGGAAGAAAGAAAGAGGAAGAGAAAGAAGGAAAGATGAAAAAAAAAGTTGGTTCAAAATTATCGAACAGGAAATGAAATAATCTCGAATGAAACGGTAATCAGTTGGCTTACAATTGATCGTCGCATTAAGAAGGAAAAAAAACTGTTCAACTAAATTGTTAAATGCTTTTTCTCATTTATTTCATAACTTCTCTCTCCCTCTCTCTCCACTCTCCCGTGAACCCGAAACAAATCGAATTTAACATGAGAGGGCATGGAGGGTAGAAAGGTTAAAACAGTAAAGAAAGCAGGAGAGGAAGAAAAGAAGGAAGGAAGAGAGAGAAGGTGTAAGTGATGATCGGTACAAAAAGAATGGAAAAATATATCTGATGATTTTGGGTGTGACTTACATTCCTCAATTTTTCATTTTCAAAACTTCAAATGCGCCAATTGTTGATTGCGCACAATAAATTATCACCCATGCTTTCCGTCTCGCTTCAAAATTTTTTTTTTCTTTCCTTTTAATAGAAATAGGATGATTGGGGTTGGGTTATTTTTCGTTTTTTTTTTTTTGATATGGAACAGATAATTTTGGGTTGAAAAAAATTTTTTTAAAAATTTACTTTATCCATGAATAAAAGATAAATCAATGCAAACATTTAGGAATTTATTTTTGAGAAAAAAACGAAAAAAGGATAAAAATTAGGAAGAACATATACAATTCCATCCATCGTTGTTGAATGCTGCAAAATTGAAACATTTATCGTTTTTTCGCCAAAAAATTTTTGGATAGAACGAGGAAAAAGATGAAACAGACATCGAATTTGCAACATTATGAGAGTGATTGCTTTGAAATACGTTAATAAAATAAAAAATGGTTAAGTTGCAGTAAACAGTTTTCGATTGCGTTGAATTCCTTCTTACAGGTATGAGAAATATTGAAATTTGATCCTATCATTTATAGCTCTTTCAAAAAAAGTGTATTATCAGTTTATCGTTAGTGACATTAATTCTTATAATGCTAACAATTTGATGTTTTGTTTTCAATTTTTATATGAGATAAAAGTTTAATTTTCTAATCAAATTACGATTAAATTTAATGGGAAACATTCAATTCATTTAGCTCAATTATTTTGAAATGCATTCAGTTGCATTTCAAGATGTATTTTTAAATATTTATTTTATTTTATTTTACTATAAAATTTTGTATTTCTCATTCCGAAGTGGATAAAAACAATATAAACTATTATTATTTATCTTCACTATTTATTAGTATTATGCAAAATTTTAAATTCACAGCATTGGCTGAGAAGTTGGATAGCAAATCATAGTTAATGGATAATTTTAGTCCATTCACAAAAAGCCGAGCATTAGCAAATTAAAATGAACGCCATAAAATGTTAACAGGTAATAAAATTATATGTGACATTAGCAACTTGAAGCATTTTACAATTATTAATTATCACTTGAGGGATATTTTAATTGAAATAATTTAAAATAGAGTGGAAAGAAAAATTACGCTCAAAAAATCAAAAAAGAAAAAAAGAAGAAAATTCGTTGATTTCAAAGATGGATAAATGTGTTGCTATCAGTAATTTATGTTAAATGATATGACTAGAAAATTTTTAGTGAATGTTGTGATGAATTAAAAGAGAAGAAATAATTTGCATTAAAAAACAATCAGTAAAAATATCAATTGAAATTTTTAATTTTTTTTTTTAAATTGTAATGCTAAATTTAAGTTATATTTAACTAATCGATTTTATGTTTTAGAAAAAAATTTCCGTTTACTGTTTATTTTTCAATTTTACTAAATAATGTTAGAGAAAGGTACATATAGTATATACTCAGGGATAAGGGATATACAAGAATATGCTTATGTTTAATTGTCGTTCGTTCATTTTGTTAGCATAGAAATAATTTGAATCAAATTACCTGAATCCTTTTCTCTTTCTCTTCTTTTAACAAATACAAACTTCAAATTTTGCAATTTAGAACAAAGCAACTGATCCCGATCACTATGTGTAGAAGTATGTAGAAATCAGTGCGTTTTTTTTTCCATTTTTTTTTTTTTTTGGAAAAAGAGAAAGGAAGGAAGAAAAGGTCGAATAAGAAGATGGACAAGAAATGAAGGTAAACTAAAATTTGAGCAAAATTATATACGAGTAATTTACAATATAAAGAACAATTCACTTAGACTTGCTGTCAAATAAAGAATGGAGAAAGAAAATGAAAACGAGAGAGAGGGAAGAAAGAAATAAAGAAAAGAGAAGACTTTAATATGTCAAAATAATCTGTCAAATATTAAGGGAAAAAAAAACAAGTGCAGCATATATATTTTAGCAAGCTACTAAAAATGTTAGTGATTTACTCAAAAATTTTTACAGGTAATTAATTACTGCCATTTCATTATATGTTTCTTACCGTATTCAAAAATGAAATCTGTTACCGTATTTGAAAGATACAAATGTATGCACATGCATGTAGAAGAGCTATTCAAATCAAAAAAAAGCGATCAAGAATTCAAATTTATTATATTTCGATGAATTCAAATGTTTTTCAGCAAATAAATAAAAATGTTATCAAAAATACACACACACACACACAC